AATACAAAGTTTTTTTTTTTTTAAATTAAAAAAAAAAAGACAATTTCTTCCTTATTTTTTGAGGAACAAATTTTGACCAGTCAAGCAAAGTAATCCTGTGTGATACTATTTTAATTATGATTAGACTTAAGAAAACTGATTCCCCTACAAACCAGATAAATGAACACATAGCCTCAGAAAAATAACATGCCAGAACAAAAATCTACATGACAGTGATATAGATCCTTATTAGATTATTAAAAATGCACCTCTAGTCCAAGAAGATCTAGCATAAAACTAAAGAATTGTGATTAAAAGAGAGTAAGTTTTTAAACGTAAATTTTATATAAACTTAAGATCTGGAGTCTTTTTGACAGCCGAATTCCCCACCATCAAAGAACACAATGGATTTTGTAATAAAGTTTAAAGGCTTTCATTTGCATAAGGTAATCAAAGAATTGTCAGCAAAAATAGAAGCAAAATTCAATCTTTTCCTCACTTTTAGGTCTCCAAGGCTTTTACATTTTATATCTGTGCCATCTTTGCAGCTCAATCCCTTTAATAGTCAATTCCAACAATTTGCTGATTGTACTGGGATCTCCGATTGAAATTTCTTTCCTGGTCCTTCACCCTCTTGGTGTGACCCCTCCCCTCCTTAGCCTGCTTCAACTTCGCAACCAAAAATATAACCATTCCTTTGTATATTCCCTCCTGCTGCATGCTCCTTGCTTGCTTCACTCTCTTGATCAAACCACAACCCTGGTTAATTGTAACTCTTCATCTACTCCTGCCTGTAAGGTTGAACGTGACTGGGGAAAAAAACATAAAAAACAAACAAACAAAAAAAAACCCACACAAACACACAGGCTACACTCAGTTTATGACAATGAGTGCAAGTGGTCCCAGACACCATCTGACAACCACCCTGTATTTTGTTACTCTCACATTCTCCTGGAAGACTATTTCACATCTTCCCAAACTCCAAATACCACTTCCTTCATCCATACTCTGGTTGATGAGTTTGCTTCTTAGTTCACTGAGATTATTAAAACAATCAGACAAGAACTTCCATAGTCCCCATCACATCTACTCAGCACCTGCAAGCACATACTCAGATGAACCATGCACATACCTATCTAGAACCAACCCTTTCACTTGTACATTTAATCCTTCCCTTTTTGCCTTCAAGAATTTAGTTTCAGCTCTTCTCCCCTGTCACATATATCCCAAGTTTTTCACTCTATTGCAGCATGCCTATCAGCATAAAAACATGCTAATGCTTCTCCCATCTTAAAAGACAAAAACCCAGAGAACTCTTCACTCCACTTCAGCTACTGACCCCCAATTCTATTTCTTTGGTCACCTTTGAGGCAAAACTTTTGAAAGAATAACCTATAACGCTTCCAATTCCTTTCTTTCCCCCACCCCCTCCACTACTGTCTGAAATGCTTTTGTCACCACCACCAACAGCCTCCACATTATAAATCCATGGCGAGTTTTCAGCCCTCGTCTTATTCGATCAAGCTGCCGTATAGAAAACATCATCATGCTTTCCCCTTTGGCTTTATTCACTTCACTTCCAGGATGCCAAACACTGTTGATTTTCTTCCTTTCTTACTGATTGGACCTTCTTATCTCCCTTGTGGGCCTCTTCTTGCCAACCTCTTCATGTTGTAGGGGCCCAGAGTGCAGACACTGACCCTCTTCTGATCTCAGCCATCTTAATATGATTTTAAATACCATCCATATGCCAAAGATATATTAAGTTACCTTTCCTGTTCTCTGCCTGTCCTCAACTCAAGATGAGTATATACAAAGGCTTAGTTGATATTTACACTTAAAATAGGTCTCTCTAGCTAGCAGGCCCATGACTGAACTCTAGAATTTTCCACTCAAAAGGTGTTCTCCTGCAATATTGTCTCAATTGATGAAAACTACATTCTCCAAGTGGCTCAGGCTAAAGACCCTGGAGTCATCATAGAACCTCTTTCTCGGATGCCAGACATCCAGTCTGTCAGCAAATTGTAATTTGGATGTCAGCAAATTGACTTCGACTACTTCTCACCATATCCACTGCCACCACTTTTGTTGGAACCATCTCTCACCTGTGTTACCACAGTAGCCTCTTCTCCATGTGTCAACTCTTTATCTCCTACTCTATTCACAACACAGCAGCTAGAGTGTTCCTTTGTATACCTGTTAGATCATGTGACTTCTCTGACAAAATGCTGTTATAGATCCACCTTTCTCTCAGAGAAAAAGCCACAGGTTTTGCATAATCTCTCCTTCCACCATTCTTCCCTTTGCTTACATTTCTAGCCCTCCTTGCCTCCCTATTGTTCTTTAAAATAACCAGGTACATTCTTCAGGCCTTTGACTCAGCTTTTCTCACTGGAATACTCTTCTTCTGAACCAGGTGTTCTCAAAGGATGGGTCCCCTGGGAACTTTGCAGAAATGCAAATTCTCAGGCCTTACTGCAGACCTACTAAATCAGGGATTCTAGATGCGGCCAGCAATTTGTGTTTTCAGAAGCCCTACAGGTGTTGCTATTACACCCTAAAACTAAGAACAACTGCCCTACATATCTACATGGGCAACTTCCTTACTTCCTTTACGTCTTTGCTCAGATGTCATTTTCTGAATGAAGCCTACTCTGAGTATCCTGTTTAAAATTGTACATTTCACTCCTTCTCCAGCACTGCACATTTCTATACTCTGCCCTCCTTTTTTCATCACCCGTATCTTCCAAAATACTTTAAAATGCATATTTTTATCATATTTTTTTGTCTCACCCCAGTAGACTATAAGCTCCATGAGGGTAATAATCTTTATATGTCCCATTCACTGGTATATACAGAATTTGACACAATGTAAGTACTCAATAAATATCAAATTAATTGAGTGAATGGCCAGTAGGGACAACTATACGAGTAAAGCATGTCCAACCGACAGGCAGGCAGGGAGTCCTCTGACAAGTGGGGATTGTGGGCGGAGTATATAATTAACAAATGTCACTTCATTTCATTGTAAGGAATGCAGAGACAAAATAGATACATATGTTAACACTCCCACTCCTGGTACCATGGTACCAGATGTGTTTTATGGAACACAGGAACAACCCAGGCATCCCAACCGTTATGCATCTTCTTTTCTAGTATTAGGAAGATGGAAGAATTCAGATTGCTGTCTTATGTTTTCAGACTGTAGAAACTTAAGAGTGTTAATGTTTCCTAATTCCTTGGGCTATCACCCTGGTGGAGGTGGGAAATACACTCATTACATTCCTATACCTTCTTAAGTAACAGCTACAGCTCCTTGACAGAACTCAAGTTCAGGGTAGCTGCAACTATGGTTCTTATCTTCTGTGTGGGTTTGTTACAAAGGAGAGGGTTGGAGTAACTTTTTGCCTTTCTATATGAGTTTTAAAAGTGTTCCAAACACAAGCAAGGTAACTTAGGAAGAGAAAAAGATACTGAAGGAAACGATCATTTTTAAAAAGTCAGCCTTGGCAACAGACCAAGACTCCATCTTAAAAAAAAAAAAGTGGCAAATTTCATTATAGACCTCTATCTTTCTTGTAACACAGAACATGTACTGGTTAAGAATACTGGCTCTAGAGTTAAAGCTCTGTTATTAGTTGTGTTTGCCATGTACAATCCCAGCAGTAAGTGCTATCATTTAATATTTGCAATGTGGTACAAAGGCAATAGCTGAATCCTGCTACCATCAAAACCATGGTAACACTACAAATATACATGCAACAAAACACTTACCTTTGCTAATCATTTCTGCTACAAATTTGCTCCAAAAAAGGTGTACAATTTTGATGATCCCTTATTTATAGGAACGATGCCAAGAAACACAGGACTAAATAAACCAGATCACTTCTGCAAATTTTTAACACAACGTGTTTCTTTGTGAACATCTAATGTTGGCCCTTTTATTGCCTTTAAAACGATCTCAATATTTGTCTCTACAATTGGCTAAGGTAAGTAAAACGACATCTATGAAGCATGAAAAAAAGAACCTCTTTAATTCCTATCATATAAATGATGGTTACATTAATATTCTATACTTTTGGCTCTGAACCATCTAATAGCTTTATTCTAGTACAACAATAAAAACTGTTAAGGGAAATGAGGAAATAGCATGGGGATTATTGCTCTTAGCATTTAATAGTATATTGAAATCTTGATGATGCTTGCTTACACTTGCTTGGAATAAGTATCTAAGGGAAAATTAAGCCCTAAGCTGAAGCTACTATTTGAAATCCCAGAAAGGGCTCCTGGGAATAGTTTGGCTTTTCGTGACAATAGATTTTCTGATGAAGTACACTGTTCCCTAATGAAAAAGACCTGGCACGGCTTCATATGATAAAATTTGACCAATGTGAGGAGTGCGATGATCAGTTTGGGAATGAGTGTTTTAATAAAAGAAACATGAAATCGACTGTGCTTTGGCAGGACATACCCCAAACCATCATGAGAGCTGTCGTCCTGGCCCACAGATGATCCCCACCATGCTACAACTGAGCGAGTTCCCACTGACATCACTGACAAAGCTGGCACGGAGACAAAGACATAATCCAAAAGCAGCCATGTTGTATTCTGCTTCATTGGAGTCCTATGAAAAACAAACTAACTTCCCCGCCTCCCCTGACCCACCCCAAGAAACGTACCATGGAAGAGATTTGAGGTTCAGTTGAGCTAGTGAAGATGTGTATTTCTAGGCAAGTAGATAAAAGGGATAGGAAAAATGAAATTTTAGAAAGGAAAAGGCAAGTGTTTTCAAATGATGAGGTCAAATGTGATAAACGTGAAAAAGGATGATACAATAAGAGGACTCTGAATTACTTGGGTTGAGACTGTCTAATACTTTAACTGGAGCAACAAGGTCATAGTTTAGGAGGGGTAACAGTTGCTTTTATCTACGTTTTATAAAAAGACACCAATACGATAAGTTGCTCTCTATCAACAACATTGAAGTTCACATATTCATTAATAAAAATAGCTTACATTACCCGCATAAATGCTTGATGTGTTCTACAGTTAGCTACTCCGCTGGACACTTGTATGCTTCCTGTAATCACGTCAGAAGTTCCATTAGAAGAAAAATAGAATCTTGGTGGAGACTCTGTCTTTCTGTTCACATCCAAACTCATGTTATAAAACAAAACTGCAAAAATATAGAGAATCACAGTTAATCTATTTACTGAAATACATCTATTGTTATTTTTGAAGTGCTAATAGTCAAAGTTATATAGATTACTGGAAATAATATCTGGAATTCTCTTTATTAAACAGCTTTTTAAAGACTAACCTGAAATATGAAAGAGAGAACAATTAAAAATACAAATTTTACAAATTGCTTTTATAAATAAAGATTTATGAACTTTCCTCTAGATTTCTATTAACACTAAAATCTTTAGTTATTTGCTTAAACCTCCTATATATAAAAATGTAAACATTGTTGCTAATAAAAGTCTTGCATAATGGTTCAGATTCCTTTGGAGTCATTTTTTCCTCAGAACATTGACTAAGAAAGTATAGACACAGCACTTTGCTCAAATGTTACTTGGAAAAATTCTATCTTATGTGGTTATATGACTAATTTTATATATGACTTTTTTTAAATTTTAGATTTGTTTGATCTGAAGGCTTTTTATTTTTTATACACGAAGTGAACACATGATTAAGTCAAATCTACGTATACGGTTTTCTTAAAAATGTCATCTTTCCAGTCTTATGCCCTGATTATCTGTCCTTCCTCTACATGTTATTGGTTTCTAGTTTGACCTTCCAGTGTTAATTTGTGCAATTTTTTAAAAAATTCTCTCAATAAATTTTCTAGCGGTTTGGCAGGGTTTATTTCAAATCTGACATAGTAAATATTCATCTGCTCATGAAGATCTCCAAATTATTAAAAAAAAAAAAAAAAGAAAAGCAAAAGAAGAGAAAGAACTGTTAAAAGCAAACAAAAACTTCCCAGCCAGATCTTACCAAGAAAGTGAGACCCAGTTCACGAATCTAAATGGGTTCTTTGCCATGCAAGCTAAATATAATATTCTTCTGAGGTGTCACTCATTATATAGAAGCAATAATTCATATGTGATAGTTTAAAGAATTTATGTAATTCTTGACATGTTCATTTATATTTTAGGAGTAACTTACACTTCTAGAAGAATTTTACCTACTTATTTCAAGGAAACAAGCATAAAATCTATATTATTCTTTATACATTTCAAATAAATCCTTCAGTCATCTTTTTAGTTGGAAAATAATGAAGTCCAAGTCAATTGGATTTCAAAATTATAACTGAGATTCAATACCTCAGAGAAATAGCACTGCAACTGAAATAGCTATCTACAAGTTCATTGTCCTGAGTTAAGAAAAAGAGTAAATGAAAATGAGGTGAAAAATAATCCACTACTAGTAAGAGTCAAAATGTCCTGGTTTTATTAAACATGCTTGCCATGTGAATTATTTCTCCTGGGAGTCATTTTGTGATAATTCTAAGATATGTTTCTCTAATAATGTGATGATTATTTATGTGTTTCATATGTTTGTCTTCAACTATTTTTAAAAATATCTGGTCACAATGGAATTGTTAGTAGAGAAAACACTGGTTTTACATAAAAGGAAAGTGCCCCATCTACTCAGTGTGTGTCTTTCAGATTATCCATCAGCTTGTCTGTGTTAATGTGTAATTTACTGTGTGGTCAGGTTCTCAAACTGCCATTTTCAAATCAATAACTAGATGAAGGCTTGCCCACCCTCTTATTACTGTAGCTCTGGCCATGACTTTTCCAGGGCACTATTAAAAATAAGTCTGATCTAAAGCAGAGATATCAGAGTCATTGTGTACCTTTCAGGTACAGGCTCATTGTGTACCTAATGCATACTGAGACATCTATTACATATCCATGGTATTATTTAATAAGTATGTGGGCCCTTCACGCTGTTTAGATAACAGCAGCCTGCAGGGTCATGAATACAATAAACTCTTGACAGGTCCTAATAGAGGATCATAAATATTGTGAATTATTAATCTCTAAATGATATGCCCAGATATGCTCTTCTCCTACCACAGGCTAGTTTCACTAGTAGTTATTTTCATATCAGCCTAAATAAAACAATTAGGAACATTAATCTGCTAGAAAAATGCTTATAAAGTCACATATACATGATTTGGAATTCGCCACCATGATTTTGGATGAGCTGTATCAATGATACGTTCTCCAGAGCAGATAATTGAGAGTTGTCTATACATAGGGAAATGGGTATGGTTCTTAGGAGCTTGTAGTCGCAGTAAATTGTTAACGTGCATATTATTTATATAAGATAGAATCAGGTCTAGCTTCTTCAATTTTTAAAATATTTTTATGATTATTAATTTTTTGAGACAGGGTCTCATTCCATTGCTCAGGCTGGAATGCAGTGGTGTGATCATAGCTTGCTGTAGCCTGGACCTCCTGGGCTCAAGCCTCAGCCACCTAAAGTGCTGAGATTACAGACATGAGCCACCATACCTGGCTTTCTTCAATTATTGAAATTGGATAAAATATGAAGAAAGAGATTTCACGGGTTAAGCTCAGTTGGTTTACCTTAAACTAACATAGCAAGAGATACTATGTCCTTTGCTTCTCATAATGTCTAAACAACTACAGCCTTCTAATGTGCCCAACTCATTAGTTAGAACAATGCAAGAATCTGGACGATGGAGAGGAAAAGTATGCATCAGGTAATTTCTCGCCCCTGCTCTAAAGATCTCCATGGTGAAAACCGGTGAGGGCTCCAAACAGGACTGTGGGATTAATGAAAGAACCACACACCATGAAGGATTAATTTTGTAAGGCATACTCACCAATGTAACCTGGAACTTCCTTGCCCTTATATGAGAAACAAAGTGTTAGATCCATGCACACAGAAGGCCATCCATTTTCAACACAGTCAAATTTCGTTCTATTTACTGACTCAGGGTGGCTTAAAGAAGCTTCAACAATGACTACAGGTCTTGTCCTGAGAAGGAAATAAAATTAGCAATGTTAATTACAGAATTATTTTTCCTTAAGAAGTGTATTTGTTTTGTCAGTTTACATTGACCAAGTAATTTCATGAGTCTTCCTTATTATGTGTGTACATACTAATTACATTTCTGTGCACAGGGAAAAATAACTTTTTATTTAAATGTCCAAAAATATTGACTTTGATGATTTAATTATATCTCTGTAAGGTGAAAAAAATACCCTAAAGTGCAATAATTAAACTTCAGAATACCAAAAGAGTATCATGAGGTCACTACCACTGCTGATTTTAAACACTGCCTCCCATCATTTACAATTAAACCAAATTGCCATTAAGCAGTGAAATATATCAATCTTACCTTAGCAACACAGCAGAATCAGACCGAAAAGCACCAACTGCTACATCTGGAGGATAAAAAAAAACACAGATTAATGATCATCATTAGTCAAAGAGAATTACTTTTCAGCCATAAGTACTGAACTACGTATCACCTTTGACTACCTAGAAACACTACTTGTAGAAAATTAGAGACTATATGCTAACATCTTACAATTCATTCCTCTTTTCTCTGAATCTACTCAAGTATAACAGTCATCCCATTATGATATATCATAAACTTTATGGTAAAAAGAAGTTTACTAAAACAAAATTCAATTTTTGGACTAGAAACATTCAAATTTCCTTTCTAAATAAGTTTTCTTTCTTTTCCTCATTATCTATTTGATTTTCATGAGTGCTTTCATTTTTTCAAAAACACAGACTATAACATTGAGTAACTAACACTGTTAAGCTGAGGAATTACTTGATCATTTTAGGCCCATCCTTGAATTAAGGAGAACTTTAAAAATGAATAAAAAAATTATCAGTAAGATGAAGTCTTTCATACCAGTATTATGTACTTCACTATAAAGCAATATCTATAATAGAGCTTATTCCAATTTATAAACTATGATAAACTAATTACTCACCTACATATCCATTATTATCTGCATCAATTTGTCCTGATATAGACTGTCCAAACATACTTAACGATTTGCTGATCTGAAGTCCTTCAATTCTCTGAAAAATAGGAAAGTTGAGTGGGAAGTAGTTTTTGAATACTAATATACCAGAGAAGCAATGATTTAGCTAAATAATGAGCTTTCCCAGGCATGCCTTGGCACATCTACTAACAAAGTTGCATTTTAGTTAAATCAAATACTTTCAAGAGTGACAAATTTTCCAGCTTGAAATGAACAGACGATATTTATTTTGTGACTAAAAAAATTTACTTTACTTTGTGAGCAAAGGGAAAATTATGTTGTACAGATTTTCTAAAATAGTCCTGACTCCCTCTCAAGTCTTTTCAGAGATAGGGGTCTCACTATGGCACCTGGGCTGGCCTGGAGCTCCTGGGTTCAAGCAGTCTTCCCAGCTCAGCTTCCTGAGTAGCTGAGATTACAGGTGCACACCACCATGCCTGGCTTCCTTAAGTCTCTTCAGGCTCTATATTTACTTCCTTTCCCAACATGAACAATTAAATAAGTAATTTGGAAAACAAGATGTCTATAATCACTTAGTGGAGCCTATGACTGAGGCTTTTGATAAAAGCCGGCTTTTTAACAAGAACAATCCTAGCCAGATATGTACTTTCTATTCCACATGTCTAATTTCATGTTCACATACAGGTTTATAAATATTAAGCTGATATTCATACTAAGAAAATTACTATTTTTGTTTACTAGGCAAATACATTTCTTTTATGTCAATTACAGAGAACCATTTGCTCATTTTTGCCTAATCAAAAATAACTGCCAGCTAATATTTCCATGCAAATATCAAGGAAAAAACTTTTCTTCTCTGCATATGAATGTCATTTTTTTCTAGGCACTGAAATGCCATGATTTTTCAGCATACAAAAGTGAAGTCAGAGTAAGATTCTGAGACATGATTAAAGTGCTGTCATCTTACTACTCAACAGTGAAAGAAACCCAGAGTATCATATGTGTGTTTGATCTCCCTGTGCAATCTTCATGAAATATGGAGCTCTAGCCACAAGGCGAAGACACAGTTAATCAAATCCAAATGGGCATATTTTAGAATCATATGGATATTACCTCGGAATACAATTTAATGAAATACAAAGACAAATATTTAATGGTCAATAGATAAGCTAGGGTGGAAATGAACTACAACTCTTATTTATGGAAAAAGGGAGTTTGAAGAATTATTAATCCCTTAAAATAAGATCATTTGTCACTGTAAGTAAACGGTGAAATGAAGTGTGAAGTATTTGAAAGAGAAAATTAAGAAAAAAGAAGTCCACATAATCCTGGAAGTTTTAAGGATACGCATTATAAGCAATGCTTCTTTTGGAAATAGAATAGTATCTTACCTGCGAGAAGGCTGATGAGACCCCATCTGCACGGCCATTGTAAATATAAATAGCACCTTGCAAGTCATCTTCTTGCGGAGCTCCGATAGCAACATCTATCCAAGAATTTAAACAGTGGAAAAATAAATTCTTGATACAAAGAATGCAACTTCGAAAACTAACCTAATGAACCTTAATTCATATCACGTAAGAAAACTCTCTTTTATGAAAAATAACAGTCTTCCTCAGACAGAAAAAAATAAAATACGATCATCATCATATACAGGATTGCACACAATAGTTTGTACATGGAAGAAAGCAGACTGGAAGCATCTGAGAGGCAACCTAACAAAATGATTAGGGCATGGGCTCTACAGACAGACCACTGGGGTCTGATCCAAGCTCTGCCACTGGGCACTGCCATGCTAGGCTGGGTCCATTTCTTAATCTGTGTTTCAATTCTCTCACTTATATAATGGGATCATAATAAAAAACACTCTCAGCATAAAAGGATATAACTTCTGCAAAGTGCTTAGAGCAGTGCCTCGCATGTAATAACTTCTCATAATCTATGAATATTTTGATCATAAGAATTTTTACTTTGGGAGCCCAGACTTACCTTATTTGCAAAATGACTCTTAACTTAATTCCTATTCCAATGAAAATGATTAAGGTATCTGTTAGAGATATCTGCACACACATACACACAGGATTTCAGAAAAAGGATTTGTTATGTAAAATAATGATTATATCACCTTTCTGTATATAATTATGTCAGACTATGATACCAAGGGAAAAAAAAAGATCTGATCAACTAACATAAGAAAACCTGAGTAAATGACATGGTTAAGTGCTATAAATATATAGTACAAAGGAGAAAAATAATATTCTACAGTTGCAAGAGCATTTCATTATTTTACCAAGTATTGTCTATTTATGTACATATTTATTTATATGCAATGGCTTTTTATTACTTTAATAGAAACCTAAAGTACTTTGTCTTCATGATATTATTACCATCAAACTGAAAACCTTTTTATAAACAGTGGTAATTTTTGGCTACTATTTCAATGAAGATAAACATATCTTTGATGTATAACTCCATGCTAAACAATGTAAAATTGTAAAAATGCAAAAGCTTTTCTAGTTTCAGTTAAAAAGAAATGGTAGACACCTATATTTACTTTGTTTATACATACTAAGGCTAGCCTCTTTTGACTTGTATGAAGTTTTTCAAACTTTCATATGCAAACATGCCCATTCATTTATTCATTCATTGGACAGCTAGTGAGCACCTATTATATTCCAGGCATTTGCCAGGAGCTGGCAAAACAGGGCAGTACCACAGAAGGAAACTTATTGTTTAGTGGGGAGGAATGGCAAGTAAGAAGAGACTAATGACATAGCATGTGAGGAGGAAGTGGTGGAAATTAGGGAAGGCTTTTCATAGAAGATGATGCCCAAGATAAGATTAAAGTATCCATAGCTCATAGCCAGGTGAAGAAAAGGGGAAATGCAATTTAGAGATGGGGAAATGCAATTTAGAGATAGGGAAAAGCCTGTGCAAGGGCAGGGAAGCAACAGGCAGCATGGCACATGTGAAGAATGGCAACTCGTTTGGAATAACTGGAGTCAGATTTGTGCAGAATATATACATATAGGAACAGAGGAGCAAGAATCGGAAGGAAGAGAAAGAGAGGAGGAGGAAAAGAGGGACGTGAAAAGAAGGAGTGGAGAAAAGTATCTTATAGCCATTGAATGGAAGACAGCAATTTCTTTAATCAGGGCTGGGTTTATACTTCCACCACTGTGGTTAAAGCTGTAGAATTTGCTATACATTGATTCTTAACACATGAAAAAAATAACAAGCCTTGTTCATGAAGTGGTTGATGTAATTCTTACAGTATCTGTTATTAGCAAGAGTGATCTAGATTAAGGCAAGTATTTAGGAAAAATACTGATGAGCCTTTTCAGCCAAAATATTTAAAAGGTCCAAATAAATTTTTTTCCATACAGAGGACACTTCAATCTTTGGCTATCACATATATAGATTCAAACTCTTGCTTCCTGGATTACACCTGGATATGTTATATAATAAAGTTCTAGCTATCATTATTCAAATGAGAAAGATACATTTTGAAATATATATAAATGTTTTCCAAGCCTATGCAACTTAATTTGGGATACAATATACAGAACACAGATATTTAACGATTGCTTTTACTTCTTATCTGAACATTTTCATTCTTTTAATATAAATCAAAATTATTAGCATTAGTGTCGGCCAACACTTATGTTTACAATGTAGGTACTGTGATATGGGCTTCGTGCACATTTACCCAAGTAACTCTCACAACCACCATATTAAATAAATACTCTGACTCCAACTTTACAGATGAGGAAACTGAGGCACAGGGTATAACCTGCTCAAGGTGACAGAGCCAGGATGTCATGGAGCTGGGATTTAAACCCTGCAGCCTGGCTCCAGAGCCTGTGCTATTGCCATGCTCTATGAACTCATTAACAACAGAGGTCATACCCCCAAATTTCCCTTCCTAATACTGATTCCTGTTCTGTGTCAAAGAGTTTCTCTCTCTCTCTCTCTCTCTCTCTCTCTCTCACACACACACACACACACACACACAAATACTATTCAGCCATTAAAAAAAAAGGATATCATGTATTCTGCAGCAACAGGGATGGAACTGGTGGGGGGTGTCATTATCTTAAGTGAAACTAGCCAGGCACAGAAAGTAAAATAACACATGCTCTTAACTCATAAATCAGTGCTTTAAAAATGTGTTCACATGGATGTATACAGTAGAATGATAGACAATGAAGACTCAGGAAGGAAAGGGGTTGTGGGGGGTGGATGATGAGAAATTACTTAATGGGTAAAAATGTATGTTATTTGGATGATGGATACCCACAAGCTCTGACTTGATCACTATGTAATCGATACATGTAACAAAATGGCACTTGTACTCTATAAACAAAACAGAAGTGCTCACTTAATGATTTGATGATATATCAATATTTCAGGTGCACACAAAGTAATAGTACAGCTTGTAATTTACAATTGTAGAACTTCTGGTTCTGCTCTAAAAATATTCAAACATATTGTCTAAAAGTCAGATAATAAGGCTCAAGGTGAAAAAAGAAACTAAACCAATAAATAGCGGTCTTGTCAAGTCTATTTTACATATGAAATAAAAAATGCTATCTCCTGTTGGTCATGTCAGGTATATTAGTCTGACCAATTTTTTCATGCTTTTGAGGAGTTTTACACTAAACTTTTGCCAAATCAATTGGTCATCTTTTTAGAAAATGGCTTGTGTTGCTTTTCTAAGGACACAGGAAATAGAGTCTGATTTTTTTTTTCCATTTGAGAACAACTGAAAAGTGATGACAAATGCCAAGATAACTTAGGTTTGCTACACAAAGTACCACAAAAATTTGCAAAATAAAGACATTAAGTGTGATTTGCATCCAATATCGGAGTCTCTTTCTACATAATCCTACACTTCTTGCCATGAACACAATGTATCTTTACGCATTCACCCCAGAAAAATAAAATAAGACAAGATGGGGCAAAGTAATAAAGAAACACATAAAGAAAAAAAACTTGTAAATTCCTGCTGTCTCATGCAGGCAGACATGGTGGAATAGGACACACTCACCCTGTTTCCACATCAGCAATGGTCTTGCTAATATCTAAAATATAGAAAATGCCTACTTATGGGCAAAATAGAAGATAAAATTAGAACTGGAGGACCGGGGGCACGGTGGCTCACACCTGTAATCCCAGCACTTTGGGAGGCCAAGGCGGGCGGATCACGAGGTCAGGAGGTCAAGACTATTCTGGTTAACACAGGGAAACTCTGTCTCTACTAAAAACACAAAAAAATTAACCAGCAGGCATGGTGGCAGGTGCCTGTAGTCCCAGCTACTCAGGAGGCTGAGGCAGGAGAATGGCGTGAACCCGGAAGGCAGAGTTGCAGTGAGGCAAAATCACACCACTGCACTCCAGCCTGGGCGACAAGAGCAAGACTCTGGTTCAAAAAAAAAAAAAAAAAACTGGACCAAGTAGAAAAAGATATATGGCATTATAAACACTCACTGAAGTGTGTTAATGTAGCCACTAAATGTAAATACGCTGTGAATTATAAAAGGCATTAAAAATAAGCACAAAAATATGCAGAAATACTTTAAAAAATCATTTGCATAATAACCTTCCAGACATAAAGGTATTACCTTTAGGAGTGGAGTGCTGAGGGTTTTTAGCAAAACAAGAGTTATGTGAAGCCCAGGGTCTCCTATACAAACTAAGAGACTGCACTGTCCCCTGAAAGTCCCCTCCGAAGTCCTCTTCCTAAGTCTCATTGACAGAATACTCTCTCTCTGTCCTTCACACCACTGGAAAATTACTTGGACTTTTCCCAGGTACTAGAGTAATTCTAATAAGGGAATTTGCCTATTGCTCATGACAGTTTTACAGCTCTAACTATAATGATAATTCAAATTTGTCATTGACATTTTGATGCCACAAAAATAATTTCTATGTGTAAATACATATATTTTTCACATTCAAAAGGGTAAAAATAGTGGTCTTCCTTAAATGTGCCAATTAAAACAAGACAGAAAAATCATAAAGTGTTTTACTCAACAGTGATTTTGTGTTTTTAAAAGAAAGAATTGGGTTGTCTATACAACACACATGACATATCAAAATGCATAAACATGGTTTTATCCGCAGGTCTTTATTAGGTAGAACCCCTAAATTTGCCACTAAATAAGGCTTATGTTTTCAAGTATTACTTTTATTTTCTACTTGATTGTAGAACTATGAAAAAGGGTGCCACTATTTTCTTCATTTTCATTTATTATGGTACATAGTCTGTACCTGATATGGTACATCTGACCCAAAATAAATGTTCAATAAATATCACAGAATTGCTGGTTACTTATGAGATGTAACATCAAACATAATAAAATTTTTTGTTTTTAATCAAATCAGACTTTTAATAAAGATAATAAAATAACAGTTTCTTATTGCTGTACATTAAAACTGCACACTTCTGAATGGAGAGATCAGTTATCAGTGAGTTGCTTTTCTATGACACTGGATGGCTGCATAGGAGCAGTGCTGACCTGAATGTATACAAACTCTCAAGGGATGTGAACTCAATGTGATGAGTGACGGCAGCAATGGCCAATACAGGAGTGCAAACCAGGTGTCCCGCCCCCTTTCTAGGAAGGGCATAAAACAAGACATGATCCCTCTTACAGCTCCATTTAAACAAAATACCCACAACACCTTCCCTCACCCCTGTCCAGGATGAGGTTATTTGTGAAAATGAGCCAGTGCCCAACCTGGCGTTCTGGTAGGGTAAGGGAAGTAGGGGGAAGCTAGTGATGGGTGGGGTACAGAGAGGCTCTCCTCCATACATGTTTTATTAAAATATTATGTGTAATCATAATAACCAAAAGTATATACATATATTTTTTCTCTCCTTTCAGTTTTAAAATAGTAAACAAAAAATCCAGAACAGTAATACTTGTATAACATAGTTACACTATTTTACGTTTAAGAAGGTTCCCTGGAAGCATGTATTCAATAACTGACTTTTCGTGTAGAATAACGCATTTTATATATTTAAAGTAGATTCTGGTATCTAGGTACAAGAAGACATTAAGAAGATGAGAATTTATAGTACCCCATCACTTTAATCTCTGAGAAAGCTGTAGCCTAAAATTACCGTATAGTAATTGCCAATGGCCTTATCAAGAAGACAATTATGAACCCTAAAAATAAGTATCAAATACTTATGTGCTGAACTCCAGGAAATTGCACACTCTCCTCTTAAACCTATTCATCATTTCATGCACAATTTTAACAGACTCAGTTACTTACCACTTAGAACTAGATTGATAAAAGCAAATTTTTAATAGAGAATGCTAGTAGATGCAGGGATTTCAACAACAGGACTGACATCCATGGCGATATGCACAGTTACCACACTACCATCTATTCAGTTAGTGAAAAACTTCAATATCAGTGGGTAAACAGCCACTGTCCCCAGGCTTCCCAGTGGCCTGCGCAGAATCTCTTCTCGAATTCCCCAGATCCTCCCATAACATGGCTATAGGGAATGCCTGGCAGAGCAGAGGGCTTCCAGAACCCTGCTCCAGCTCTGCAGCCAGCCTCTGTTGGGTTTGGTCAGTGTCTTTATTGTACTGATAGTTAAATACCATGGTTCAATGAGTCTATGATACACATTTCCTGCCCATATTTTATTATTTCTGAAATCAGGGTCTTCCTTAACATGAAAAAATAGTGGGCATTAACAGCTTAATAGGCAGCTTTTAGGGACACATAAATAACAATGCAGTTTCTAATCAATGGCGCCTTAGAATCACTGAAATAAAGTATTTTGAATATCATCCATTATTAACAGTGGTAAAGATCAATGGGTGACAAACTGAGAAGTCATACATAACACTAAAGAAAAAACTTAGCATGCCATTATGGCTCCATTTTCTATAGGAAGGTAAACAACACAAAACTTTAATCATATTTTCTCCCATAAACCATTTTAAAAGCAGAAATCAAGCACCAAATTGATAATTTTAATTACCTTCAAAGCCATCATTGTCAATGTCACCAAGATTAACTATACATTCGCCAAATCTTGCAGCATATTTGTCACTTCCAACGAGATTTGTTTCCATTTCATTCATTACTGCTCCCTAGATAGAAAGGGAGAGAAACGGTATCATTATAACACTCCCTGACAACTTTACACAATTTACTGTTGTAATTGGATATGGATTTTTTCTAATGCGTCAAACAAGTTGGACAAACTACAGACTGAGCTTTAGTACACACATCTCAGTTCAATTCAATAAATATTTATTGAGTCTGTCAACACATAATAGTATGATTAGAGCTCGGAGGACATAAAAAATTGTCAAACTCATGATCTCTAGCTTTGAAAATCCAATAAATCATTTTGATAATTCAATTTAGCAAATATTTATTGAGCTTCTACTAAAGACAACACACTGTGCAAAGAGTGAAAAGGTGAAAGGGGGCAAGGAAGTGTGTGTATAAAACACATTCCCTTTCTTCAATAAGCCCACAGTTACAGGGAGGGCTTAGCCCAAGCATACAAATGACTGAGAAGCAGAAACTGCTTTACCATATCAAGAAGCAAAAATAAATAAATAAAAAATCTAATTATAACAGAAGAGACTTCATAAAGGAGATGGCATGCCAGGTGGCTATTGAAGGATAAGCGTAATTTTGATACACAGAGACAACCAGCAGCAAAACAAATTCCAAAGAATTTGGCTCTAATGAATGGCATGTATAATGAATGAGACAAAAATGTCAGATTGCAGTCTTATAGTGTAGCATCTTGATTGTCAAGGAAAATTTACTCTTAATTTAGGGAACAACAGGAAACACTGAAGGTTTCTGAGTTGAGGAGTGACATGCTTGAAGTTGGTCTTTGGAACCAGCAGCAGTGGAGCATAGATTAGTCAATGGATAACTAGGAAGGAGGAAGATGAGTTACTACAATAAGACATTCAATAATGTAATAATTAGCTGTTACAATCACAGCTATCAGTTCTCTTCACAAACTTTGATCATGTCAGTCCTTTGTATTAAAAAGAGAAAAGGCCATATCCTTTCTTCTTCTCAAATCTACTTGGCACTCCTTAAGCATATACACGTTCTTTCCTTGTCAAGTGTCTTCATTTGTGAATTTTCCAAAAGAAAAATTCTGATTTTTGTCTTTCTCAAACACTACTTCCTCTGTAAAAGCTTCTTGACCCAAAGGGAATCACTTCTTCCACTTCGTATGTACTTACAATGTGCCATGTATCACATCGTAGTCAATTGTTTACTCCCATTGTTGTCTTCACAAGATCCTGAAGTCCTGGGGACAGCTCTATGATTATTACCTCTTTTTATAGTCCTGGTTACATTTCAGATACTCACTAAATGTCATTTATTTTATTTTAAATGAACTAAGATGACTGGGAATCATCTTTATAATCACTTGACGCTGAAGCAGTGAATGATTGATTCAAAGAAGTCAGGGATAAAACAGCTTGGCTCCTGGGCAAATGTCTAAATTAAAGAGCAGAAGGGTGAAAAGGCTCCAGGGAGAACAGACAAGGTACAGACTTAAGACAGTGCAATGGCTCTGAAGTTCTGGAAGGAGAGTTTCAATAGGAAGAGGTGATCACTATTCTTCAAGTATTCCCTAGTCACAGAGAGTGGTGACTGAGAGTTCACTGGGAACCCCTGAGAGCTATTTTAGTACAAGTAGGTAGAAGCCAGAGTCACTCAAGTATCATTCTTTCTTGAGTTCATTCAAAAACAATTTCACATACTTGTCTAGGACTCTTTCAAGCCCTGATGAAACAGCGGTAAACAAGACACAATATCTCTCCACATGGCATCTATACTACAGAAGAACAGACAACAGCAAATCGAATCAATGTAAATAAATGCCACTTAGTGGTTAGCGCCATTTCAGAGGGTTGAGAAATTAGAGGTTAAATGGAACAAAGGAAGACTATATCAGAGGATTTAAAAGCTGAAATCACTTATTAAATTAATTCAAGTGTTTAATAAGAGTAGTGCCTCGAGGTAGGCATGATGGAAGAACAGGAGGGTAGCCAAGTGGGTAGCAGGGTTTATCTGTTTTTTTGTTTTTTTTTTTTCTTAATGAGATTAAGATTGCAATGGGGGAAAATTATTCTATGTTGCTTTACTTTAGGTATACATGTGGATGTTTAGTTGTAAAGAGGAAGATAAGAGAAATCTGCAGCAGGAGGATGTAGCCAGTACAAAGACCACTATTTTTGGAAATGGAAATGTGAAATCTATGGAAGAAAATTATCTGATATCACTATTAATGAGATTTAATGATCACTGTGTAGATAATTTGCTTTTACTATTAAATGTAGGTTAAATACAGTCTAGGAAATTCCAAAGCATAAATAACTTCCCTGCTCTGTATTTTAAACTTTGAGAATCTTCCATTTATAAGACTAGATGTTTTCTTTCTTAAATTGTAGAGTTTAGTCTGATGCTTAATATAAGAACTTGCTAAATGCTCTGAAACCATTGACTGAACATAGTTAGAAATACTTTCTTGAAACAGAGTCCACTTTGTTGAATCCTGAGTGAAAAATGCTATGCCATTCGAAATGAACTGGTCTTCTCACAAGCCCACTCTTGTTTTCAAATCAAAGGAACAGGCCAAGAAGATCTCATTAAGACTCCATAAATTTTTTGTTTTGACCTAATGTCAAGAATCTAGGCTGGCAAGATAAGGCCAGAAAGTCTTTGAATTATCAAGTGGTCAGTTTCTACCAGAATAATTTAAAATTGAATTATAGTCAGTAATTACCTATTTATACAATTAATATATCCACTGTGGAATAAACTGTGCCAATTTTATATTCTTATCAAGAGCATAATATATATGAATTATGAAAATTAATGTTTTAACAAAACACATCTTGTTTCTAATTGTTTTCAAATTAAGAAATTGAAAATACTTAATTATTCATCTTCTAGTCCTAGTAATGTTTTATAATTTATATAAGGACCTTAACCAGAACTATTAAGAAATCTATATTTTGAAGGAGGTATAAAAATTATTCTTTCAAATTAGATTAGTATCAACATAAAACTGAAAGAAATTTCAGCTACCAGAGTGAACACACACAAGCTGTGAACAGAGAAACTCCCTAACAATCTATTTCATAGATTGTTCTAGAATATCAAAATGAGATACTTTCCCATTCACCTGCATATTCCATTTCATTTTTACAGCATCAGTACAGTATTAGAATTTTAACTTTTGTCAATAAAAAAAACCTGAAAATAATCTCAGATCTCTGGAATAAGACCAATTTCAGTTTTGATCATAATTCCATAAATGGCTTCCAGTTAGGACACTTGGACATACCGAGCCGGAGTTGATGTACACAAACACTCTTCCTTCCTCTCTGATGGTGCTCTGCATGGGCGCTCCCACGAGCAGATCTGAGAAGCCATCTGCGTTAAGGTCCACAGCACAGACAGAAGCTCCAAAGTACGATCCAAGCTGTCCCAAAACAAACCAGATCCACTCATTGAGAAAAAAGCAGGGTTACTCGCAGAAGCCCACAGAGATACTAAAGGTGGAGACATATTACCTTTTTACCTTTCATTTCATGTAAGATATTTAGTTCTTTTTCATCAATGCTGAATATATATGCCTGTAATTGGGGAAATAATTACAAAAGTTTTTATGAATACCATATATATTTTAAAACCCCACTCATTTCTGTTTGACCGAAACATGAATTTTTACAACTTGCAGTTAATTGCTCAAATATAAAAATAAATCCTTTTAAGAGTGACACAAAAGGGTTTGGGATCCACTGTTACATTAATATGCCTTACTTGCAAAAGTATTTTCTCAGGAAGTATTTTATTGATCCTATAGAGGGGACACAGGAAGTGTTGTTTGCCTCACTTTTCAAAAGTAAGACTCAGAAAAGCTGAGTGACCAATGTTCACATAGCAACATAGCAAAAACTAAAACCAGAAATAGTATTTCCTTCTTTCTAGTCTTACCACAAAATATATAGTTGCCTCAACTTCTTTTCAGCTGTGAAACTGTTCACCATATACTCCCTGGACATTTTTAGATTGTTTCCTTTAAGAAAATTATAAGATAGAACTAAGTCTCATTTGACTTTTATAATTTTTCAGAAAGTGTTTTGCTAAATTTCTTCTAAAACCATAACATCTTTCACCAGTTCCACTAAATGTAATAACCTGTTCATCATTTCTAATCTTTCTTTCCTTACGTATGCAGTTTCTCCTTGAATATCTTATTCATGCAATGTCACCTTTGTGAAGAAATAAATATAAAAATGTAATTCTTACTTTACCAATCTGCTCGTGTTGAGGAGCTCCTCCGACTACTTCAGTAGTATGCTGACTCCGAAAATGACCAGCTCCAACTGAATATCCTTTAAGGGAGAAAGTATGAGAGTCCTGGGTAAAGTACATCATATGGTAATATGGGTAAAATAGATCATAAAATTAAGTGATACCCAATTCAAAATAACTACATTAAGCAGTTAAGAATATTTAACATAGAGATACTCAAAATCAGTCATTCATTATGTTTTATGCAATTTTGATATGTGTGACAAAACTGCAATCATATGGTTTGTAATTCCAAGTCCTAGAAATTGAAAATAGCATCTTTACATCTGGTGCAGTATAATCAGTTTCTAGGATTACAACAGACATATTTTAGAGTATATTAAATATAACATCTTAATTGGGAAATGAAAACTTTAAACCTTAAATAAAAATCCTGCTAAAGTTCAGCTTTTTTGCCACCAAATCTTTCTTTTGTGATGACTTTTTGATGACAAAAGGTAATTTTATTTTATGTAATAAAAGGCATATCAAGTTATATTTCTTGAACTATTTCAAAGAATCCTTTAATCATAAACAAGAAAACACTGAATTGTAACAAATTCTTCTACTTGAAAGTTCTTCTGTTTGAATGGAAAGAAAGAGTGCTTGTTTTTTAATTATTTCTGAGTGTAAGATGCTCACATTTGACACACATACAGTTTAAACAAACATGGATTTTCTGAAAATCTATAGGAAAAGCATTTATTTTCTTGTAATGGACATTAATGCAAGAAAAATTTGCATTTCTGTTGAAATACAGATGATAAAGTATCCTACTATTGACTTATGAGATGATAGTGAGGAGGAAGATGATAAAAATAGTTAAGTTCTGGGAAATATTCTAAGAACTTATAAGGTGAAGGTCAATGAGCCGTTTGTAGACCCATATGCTTCACGGAGCCCCCTCATCTGGAATTTGGTGGACAGTACCACTGGCTTTCAGTTGGTCCTTAAGGAAACTATACTTACACAGATGTTTAAATGAGTTAATTCACATAAAGTTCTCACAAAAAGTTCCTGAGATATGGGAAGCACTCAACAGAAACAACCTGTGTAATCGGTTGACTACATAAAGATACAAACTTACTAGTGTTTCCTAAAGTGAACTACAAAGAGTAAACTAAACTAGGAGTTCTATTAAGAATTATATTGGCCGGGCGCGGTGGCTCAAGCCTGTAATCCCAGCACTTTGGGAGGCCGAGGCGGGCGGATCACGAGGTCAGGAGATCGAGACCATCCTGGCTAACACGGTGAAACCCCGTCTCTACTAAAAAAAATACAAAAAAACTAGCCGGGCGAGGTGGCGGGCGCCTGTAGTCCCAGCTACTCGGGAGGCTGAGACAGGAGAATGGCGTGAACCTGGGAGGCAGAGCTTGCAGTGAGCCGAGATCGTGCCACTGCACTCCAGCCCGGGCCGCAGAGCGAGACTCCGTCTCAAAAAAAAAAAAAGAATTATATATTGATTATTTTAGTCACATGTGTAAATGTAAAATATTAAGTTAACTAAATTTTCATAAATCCTATCCTTAAGAGACAGTTTCTGAACTGCCTAATTATTACTGTAATTATACTGGCCACTTACATCTTTGGAAAATATATTTTCCTTATTTATAATTATAGTACTAGTATTTGTAAGGTAGAGATCATTTAAGTTTGTCCATTTTTATAGTACCTAAATAACTTCCAAATTTTACTTGATTTTGTTTGTCTAAAAAAGCCTTGTATTTATTTGTAGTTATATTGTAGACAAAAAGAGAGCCAGTCCAATAAGATGATCCTGGGGCTCCCATCACAATTAAATCCTGTAGGAAAAAAAAAAACAAAACTATTATTATTTAAAGTTTAAGCTCACCACCCCAAACCTCCTCCAGATACACAATAGATAGTAAAGAGAATATATTTTTATAATAACAAATTCCTGAAGTAGGAATATTCTGTGAAGTTAAAACATACCAGGAAAAAAAAAAAAAAAAAAAAGGCCAGAGAAGTTGGCTAATGGATTTCTACCTAAAAGTGAAATCTCAGAGAAGATTTCAGAAGAAATCTCTGAAATTCTCATTTAATGCATTTATCAGTGGATTTCAAAAGTTGAAAGGAGAAGTACTGAACTCTAGGGTAAGCTTTTGGGAGACAGGCAATATGGTTCCTATTAAAGAAAATCATATGTGGGTAATTCATGAGTGCTAATTACGGAGATGATCATGTGTTGCCAAAGAATAAAAAGTGGACTTAATTTATTTCAATTTGCAAAGAACCACTAATTTTTCTAATAATGTTAGCTTAGGGGAAAAAAGTCCAATGGAATATGGGGCACATTTTGTTATACATAGGAATTTAGGAGAAGATTGGAATGAGCATGCCCTTGTCTGGTGTAGTATGAAAACTCTCAGCAATTAAATCTCTTTAGCATATTTCCATATTCCTAAACAATCCTAAACTTTAAAAAAGTCAACTTAAACTGAATAAAGCATTTTCTTTGTAAGCATTTTAAGCATCTTAATATAACTGTTAATATTTGCAGACACTGTCAACCCCAAACTTGATATAGCCTGATCTTCATGGACTCAAAAAACATTCCTGAATTCACAGTGTGTTTTTAAGAAAAACTGAGAGATTTGGGGTTGAGTACAACTGTGCCCTTTCATAGGTATCCTAGAATGTTAAAAAGAGAGTAAAAAATCTTGGAAATATTATCTATCTGATTTAAGGGGATATTAAGTTCTTAAATTTCCCAATTATAATAATTTTAATGAAAAATATAGACTAATATGCTTTCTTTGCCCCTCAACTAGAAATTTAAAATAACACACTTGGGTTATTTTCAATACCTAAGTTAACAAGATAATTAACTGTAGCTACTTTTTTCATTAAATTATTGAAGAAATATTCTTCACTATAGATTTTAGTTCATCTTATGTAGCATAGCCATCTAAATATTGATATTTTATTGAAATATATGTGGAATTTTTGAGTGGCAAAAATTAAGTTGTAATACTCAAATTTAAAAGACAGGAAGATGTTGCACAGTTTTTACTTTAAAACATATCAGTCTTCCAAACCATGAGAAGAATTAAGATTCTATATGTTAACATTTATAGCAGCTATTTTTTGAACAATTACCTTTGTGTAAAAACTAGATATTCCAGCTTGACATGATGCAAAATTTTCTCCAAATTTTTTCACATAATCTAAAATGAAATATTAAAACAACTCAGAATTATATCTTAAAATAAAGATATAATCTCCATAATTTGTTTCTTAAATAAATTCTTACAGAAATGTACTTTAAGGTCTATAGTTTGTACTTTTATAAAATAAAAACCAGTAACCTTGATATAATTTAACAAATTCCTTCCATATTAATATTCAAAATATTCCTATAAAATGGCAATTAAAATATCTCCCTCTGCTTCTTCTTCATAGGAAGCACACACAGCATATACTCAAAAAAAATTTTGTAAAATAAGACAGAGGTAGGATTTATGATTTTGAGTCCATGTTTTCTTTTTACTGTATATATCTAAGGTGTGCAACATCACGTTTGACATATATATACATAGTGAAACAGTTACTACACTTAACATACATATCTCCTTACAGTCATCTTTTTTGTGCATTGAGAGTGAAATCTACTCTCTTGGCAAACTTCCAGTGCACAATAATTAACTCCAGTCCTCATGCTGTACATTAGATCTCTAGACTTATTCATCCTACACAAATGCAGCTTTGTACACTTTCACCAACATCTCCCCATCCTAACCCTCTCTCTTCTCACCTTCTTCTCTATGTATTTGACTTTTTTAGATTCCACAGATAAGTGAGATCATACAGTACATCTTTCTGTGCCTAGCTTATTTCACTTAAAATAATGTCCTTCAGGGTCATCCATGTTGTCACAAAAGTCAGGATTTCCTTTTTTAAAGGCTGAATAATACTCCATTGTATATGTTTATGTATATAAGTGTGTATACATACATCTCACAACTCCTTATCCATTCAGTCGTCTGTCAATGGACACTAAGGTTGTTTCTGTAACTTGGCTATCGTGAATGCTGCTGCAATGAACATAAAAGCACAGATCTCTTTATGTGGTACTGAGTTCATTTCCTTTGTATATATACCCAGAAGAAGGATTGTTAGACCATATGGTAGTTTTATTTTTAATTTGAGTAACTTCTCTACTGTTTTCTATAATGGCTGTACCAATTTACATTCCCGCCAACAGTGTGCAAGGGTTCCATTTTCTCCACATCTTCGCCAACACTTGTTATCTCTTACCTTTTTCATAATGACAGTTCTAATAGGTGTGAAGTGATACTTTATCGTGGTTTGTAATTTGCATTTCCTTGATGATAGGTAATGTTGAGCACCTTTTCATCTACCTATTGGCCATTTTGATGCCTTCTTTGGAAAGAAAGTCATTTGTTCTCTTGACTATTTTTTAATCAGGTTATTTGGTTTTTTGCTATCGAGTTGGTGAGATCCTTATATATTTTAAATATTAACCCTTTATCAGAATTATGCAAATATTATCGCCCATTCTACAGACTGTCTCTTCACTCTGTTGATTGTCTCCTTTGCTATACAGGAGCTTTCTAATGTAGTCTCATTTATTTTTGCTTTTATTGTCTGAGTTTTTGGTATAATTTCCAAAAACTCATTGTCTAATGTCAAGTAGCTTTTCTCTTATGTTTTCCACTAGAAGTTTTATGGTTTCGGGTATTATGTTTAAGTCTTTAACCCATTTTAGTTGACTTTGGTATATTTGCTAAGATAAGGGTTCAATTTCATTCTTTTGCATGCGTATAGCCAATTTTCCCAAAGGCATTAAAAAAAAAAAAAAAACTTTCAGGTTCAGGGTTCATGTGCAAGTTTGTTGCATAAATTGCGTGTTGCAGGGGTTTGGTGTACAGATTATTTCCCCATGCAGGTAATAAGCATAGTACCCGATGGGTAGTTTTTTTGATCCTCTCCCTCCTCCCATCCTCTACCATCAGGTAGGCCCCAGTGTTTCTGCCTACTTTGTGTCCCTTGTGTCCATATGTACTCAATGTTTAGCTCCCACTTATAAGTGAGAACATGTGGTATTTGGTTTTCTGTTCCTGTGTTAGTTCGCTTAGGTTATTGACCTCCAGCTCCATCTAAGTTGCTGCAAAGGACATAATCTATTTATGATTTATGGCTGTGTAGTATTCTACAGTGTGTATGTATCACATTTTCTTTATCCAGTCTGACACTGACGGGCATTTAGGTTGACTCCATGTCTTTGCTATTGCTAATACCATTTATTGAAGAGAGTCTCCTTTCTTAGATTTTGCCCAACTGAAAATATAGACTGAATCAAGATCTGCATGGACATAAAGGTCTCTTATTACAAAACCCCATGAATGAACGCTTTTGGAACTTACTAAGGGGACAAAGCTTTGCTTCTTCCAAAAAACTGATATAAGTAAACTTCTATGAAAATAAGAATTGGAACCACAGCTTCCTTTTGGCTTTGCTAAGCAGAAAACTTAAATAAATTGGTAAGTCATTTATAATGACCACTTATAGTCAGGAGTTTTCATCCCTTTTAAAAATATATATCTTACATGATCCTGTATTTTACAATTGTAGATGTGTTAGGTTTATGGCATTTTGAGATTTTTACAGTATGTGGCTAGGTATATCTGAGAAAAATTAAAAACTCTACTATGAAAAGGTTTAAAGATAAACTGAAAACTATTAGGAAAAAGAAGATAGCAAACAATCAGAAACCAAGACTGAGTTTTATTGCAACTGAGAATCAATATTCACTTTTTTACCTTTTGGGTATTCCAAAGGCAAAATAGGAATATATGTAATATAAACTGCTTTGTGATGTCACATTCCAGGGAAGAAAGACCCACATCTTACTAGCATCAATAATTGAACTCAAATACCTGGCCAAAGTTTTGCCAACCAATACAATTTTTCTTTGGGTGCTGAGGGATTTGAGAGTGAGGGTGGTTAGAAAATTAGAAATTTGCATTCATATGTTTCTTAGCTACCTAAAGACACATTGTTGGATTTTAGTTTTGCTGCAGATATCATCTGACATGCTCTGTTGACATTCACCCCAATTCTGCTCACTTCTGTTACGTCCTAGCTCTGTACTTGCTAATGCTACCTATAGCATAGAGTTACCATGAGAAAAATGTTTCAAACTCAAGACACCAATCTCTTGCTGCTTAAAGGAAAACATGTGAATTAGAAAAAGAGATAGTGAGTGTGAACGAAGGATTTGCTTACACTGATTATTCTTCCTGATTACTCCTGGAAGCTAAAGGTAACAGGAAACCTAAAGTCTTTCTTATTAATCAGACTTCCAATATAATTTCACAATTTAAATGTCCTTTATTTGCTGGGTACTAGTCTCACTCACACCAAATTGAAAGTAAATTTAATGCAAAAGTGGATAGTTACCAGCTAGATTTCAGAGTTATTCAAATTGTAGAATTTTTATAGCAAAGTACATTTATGAAAAATAATGCTATTGCAATTAGGTAAAGAAAGAAATTGAGTAGCTAAAAAGAATATAATTACTCAGAAGATCTCCCTCTCTTCTGAACATCTAAACTTGAACATACATTTAAAACACTAAGAGATATTCACTTACTTATCTTTATCTAATTAGTATCAAAATAATGCCTTACCTTGGTAACACGGAGCTATTCTTTTACTCAGTTCTGTTCGTAAATCAGGGGGCATTCCATAGCAACCACCAGTGGGGAGCTTATTTTCATTCTTTATGTAAAATATATTTTTCCATCTATGCCCACAAGTCTGAATAAAATAAAAGTAGACCAAATGATGTGAAAGCTGCACCCAGGATAGCTGATTTCACGACGGATCAGTGGACCAGTTCCAATACCTACCACGATGGATCCATTTTCTCCTGGCTGTCTGGAAAGTGTAACCCCCAACCACTGATTGTCTCTCTCTTCCAAACAAGTCTTTCCACAAGGTTCTCCATTAGGGCTACCTATAGCATTTGAAAATAATTTTATCATCAGTTGTATTGAAAACACTCTACAAAAGCAGATAAAACTGTGCACTCATCCCCAGTATTTTTCCGTTAACTACTTCTCTATCTTATATTCAGTGCACAATGTGAGGATAAATGTGAATTACTCTGTGCCAACATACTTATTCTCTAATACAAGGTGACTTTTGTTGTAGAAATGACCTCCGACTGGTAGCACCATGAAGAGATAGACTCAATCATATAAGAGATAGCTAACAGGACTAGGAGTGGGAAAACCAGTTAAAGCTAATACCAGGTTGTGCAACTACAACCGCTGTGTCTAACGTTTGGAAAAGATTTAGCCATTTATCTAACAATGTAAGCAATATTATCAGAGCACTTTAAAAAATCTTTCTTCTACTGAGATATTAAGAATAGAAAGACTATAAAACATTCTCAGCAATTAAGGTACAATTTATTGGAGCTGGAAGGTGATGATTAAGCATGCGGAAAGTGGAACATAGAATTAGCATACCAATAAAGCCTTGCGTTTATAAGAAACTGCCCTATGTTTACATTTATTGGAATATGACTCATGTTTTCAACAGAGATAAAGTGATTTGGAAAACCAGATTATCTCAGTAGTAAATAAAAAACTTCAATAGACACTTTGGCAAATGTATGAATAGCCAAACATAAATAAAATACTCATGTACTAGATAGTGCTTCTATACTATGTAAGAAGTGGTCTTCACAGTGATCATTTTTTTGTTAGCAAAAATTCTTTGCGTTATAGCTGGGTTCCTATTAAAATCCTATGTTGTCGGGCGCGGTGGCTCAAGCCTGTATCCCAGCACTTTGGGAGGCCGAGATGGGCGGATCATGAGGTCAGGAGATCGAGACCATCCTGGCTAACCCAGTGAAACCCCGTCTCTACTAAAAAATACAAAAAATTAGCCAGGCGTGGTGGCAGGTGCCTGTAGTCCCAGCTAGGCGGGAGGCTGAGGCAGGAGAATGGCGTGAACCCGGAAGGCGGAGCTTGCAGTGAGCTGAGATCCGGCCACTGCACTCCAGCCTGGGCAACGCAGCGAGACTCCGTCTCAAAAATAATAATAATAATAATAATAATAATAATAATAATAATAAAATAAAATCCTATGTTAAGTAATTTCAAATAAGTTACTTTGGGGGAGAGTAAGATGCAGTATCCTAAGATTCTTTTTGCTGTCTTTATTTTCACCCTCTTTAGTTGGCATATGAAAATTCTATTGCATCTGTTCTTAATTCCTGGCAGTTAAATACATTAGCATCAATTTGATTGGATAAGGATGTGGAACTTGGGTTTGTTAATTTTGAACACTGGTCACTAGGTACCAAGTTTTCATGAATTTATGGTGACCATTCTCTCTATATCATTGGCACTTTGTCTCCTCCTATAATGTTGACCCCTAAATGTAGTTTCCTGGGCAAACTCAGAACCCTTACAGAGATACAGACTAATATTTTTACTTATTTTTTGTGGTACCAATGGGGGTCTCACTATGTTACCCATGCTGGTCTTGAACTCTTGCCTCAAGTGATCCTCTTGCTTTGACCTCCCAAAGTGCTGGGATTACCAGCATAAGCCACCATGCCTGGTAAGGTAATATTTGAGAAGTGAAATTATTTGCACTAAGTCTTCTGGGTAGGAGAGATTTTGTTTAAGGAGTGTGGGAAGATGTTTGTTTATACTTTTGTTTTCTAAAATGTCATTGAGGAAAAACAAAACCTTTAATCACAACTGAAGTGAAGAAAATGTTTGAGCCCCTCCTCCAGAGATTCTGCTTCAGCAGGTCCAGGTGAGGCCCTGATTACCCTAGGTCAGCGGTTCCCAATCTTTTTGGCACGGAGGACTGGTTTCATGGAAGACAATTTTTCCATGGGCAGTGGTGAGGGTTGGTATAAAACTGTTCCACCTCAGATCATCTGGCATTAGATTCTCCCAAGGAAAGCACAACCTAGATCCCATGCCTGCGCAGTTCACAACAGGGTCTGCACTCCTACCAGAATCTAATTCCACCACTGATCATCTGACAGAGGCAAAGTTCAGGCAGCAATGCTCACTGATCCACCACTCACCTCCTGCTGTGCAGCCCAGTTCCTACCAGGCCACGGGCCAGTACCCATCCACAGCCCAGGGATTGGGGATCCCTGCCCTAAGTGGTTCTCATGGTCAGGAACACTGTTACTGTGAAATGCAGAGAATGTTTTTCTGGACAGCATACACATAGAATAATGACAACTCCCACTAACTGGTAATGGCTTCCTGGAGAACTAGACTGAAGGGAGGAGGACTAAGACTAGGTCTGGACAAAGAATGCTAGGGCTGAATGGCAATGGTTGCTATTAGATTTGGAAAGGAGCCTTGCTGTGGCTCAAACCTTGATAAAGAATGGTCCAGGTGGACACATAAAGTCTCCGTGTTAAATTGAGAAAGCAAGGGATGAAGACAGAAATGACAGGAAAAGAGAAGGGGAAAACAGGGAAGATGGTAGGAGGAAAAAAAAATTGTGTGTGGGAGATAAGTAAGGTCAGAAACAGGGAGTTGTTATTGTGGCTACCTGATGCCAAATCAATAGAATTTAAAGTAAAACAGAATGACAAACAAGGCATTTTCATTTTCATTATAATACAATTTTCAGTTTTCATTAAAATTGATTTTTTACTGTCAAAAATAGATAACAAATGGTAGATTCAGTCTACACGAAGTTCCTGTTATTTACTACAAGCCACATTAATACCCTCTGAAAATATTAAAGTTTTTGTGCAGTTATAGTCAACACTCAGTTAAGACAATTGAGCAAGAGGAAAATCAAGGATAGGAGAGGATGGGGCTCACAAAAACATGGCATGTTTAATAGACACTTTCATTACAATTACATCCAATATTTAGAAACAAATCTATTATTCTAGACAAAGCCACCCAGAAGATTAAAAACAGACAAATAGTTTCGAACCACAAAATACCATGTAAATAGCTTGATGGAAATGGCCAAAAAATTATGTGCAAAAATAGTGTATTGTTATCTGTTTCTTAGCTGAACTGTTTTGTAAATTTCTAAGTGAAGACTAGACAAACTCTTGCATTATGAACTGTTATCTGTTTAATATTCTGCATTGCCTCCTCCTCGTTTTAGTTTTAGCTCCATCAGGTGGCATCACAATGTCATCACTGCCCAGGCTCACACTGAGGTTTACACACATCACAAACTACTCACTTTCCCACTTACTAACATCACTTCCCTGAAACTTCTTTCTCTCCATGTGAGTGCCTCTCAGCTCTCTGGGAAAACAGCCACTAAATCATTAGGCTATTTTAAGATGTGTCCCATGTAGTCTCACCAAAGTCCTGGGACTTTAATTTCAGTGTGGCTCATGCCCTTCCCTTCTCCTTACTGTAGGTTAAAAATAATGATTCTTAGAAACAGGAGAAGAAATAGCCCTCCAGAAGCCACAAGAAAGAGATGTTTACCTAAGAATAAATGTGGGAAGAACTTTCCCAGGAAGCCAGTGATGTGGTTCATTCACCCGTGAGCAGAAGAGATTTCAAATAGAAAAACATATGGCAGGTTTGTAAGTGCGAAATTGGTGGGGTGGGGGGTCAAAATGCCACTAGATGTAATCTCATATCTGTCACAATGTGGTTCCAAGTAACAGTTGCCTTCTAATATATAGATAAAATTTCTGATTCATTAATTTTCAAATATCTCTTATACAGTTGTTAGTTAATCCAATCTTAGATACTGACAGATGACTCTAACGTCAGTACTCAAGGGTTCTCAGACACACAGGATACGATCACTCAGAGGAAATTATGGTAAAATTGATTAATATCCTGTAGGAAGAAGTATTTTCATTTTTGTTAGGGTTAACTACATTTATTTATTTACAATGTTTCTGGCCTACTTCCAAGGCTTAGTAAATAGTGACCTCATTCATCTTGCCCAGGACTGTATCTTTGTCATAATCCCACCCCCGACAAACAGCCCAGAAATGGGTGCTGAAATGGAAAGGTCAGTAAATGAAAAACAATTCAAAGCTTCTATTATGGTTTGACTAGGCATCTTCTATTTGTTTGATATATATCTTAATTCAAAACATGTGTAAAAAGAATGAATGCACAGCCAGAAAAAAAGTTCATGAAAATAGTCATGAAACAATGATTCTTCCACAGAAGAAAAACCAATCTTAATAAGTGAGCAAATACATATACTACATTTAGATATGTTTCCCCTTTTCACTTATTAACACTGCTTTAACCATAGAGGCAGCCCCCAACAGCAATGATAATACTGAGGTAACTTTCAAGTACTGGTTACAGGCTAGAATCTGTTCAGAGAACATCCTGTAATTCCCCCTAGTGTTCTTGTTTTTTTCTTAATTTCTGGGACTTTTTCTCTTTTTATTTTTTAGGGAGTGAGGATCTCACTCTGTCACCTAGGTTACAGTGCAGTGGCGTGATCATAGCTCACTACAGCCTCAAACTCCTGGGCTCTTGTAATCCTCCCACTTCAGCCTCCTGTGCAGCTGGGGATATAGGTGCCCGCCACCATGCCCAGCTTCTCTTTTCTTTTGTTGTGCCTGCAGAATCTGAGCAGAAGAGGTAAGACCTTCACATGATCAGCTTGTGATCATGGCCTTCTCCAAAGCTTTTCTCCCTTAACCTGTGTGATCCTGAGTCCACTCCTTTCCCACTCAGTACTCAGCCTTGGCTGGACATTAGAATTAATGGAAGGGAGTTTGAAACCAGTACCTCCACCTGGGCCCCACTCTTAGAGGCTCAGACTCGACATGTCTGGGTTAAGAACCAGACATAAGAATTTTTTCGAAGCCCCCCAGGTAGTTGTAGCATATGAATGGGCTTGTGAACAATTGCTCTACAATGTAGCTCAGGGGTTCCCATATTTTGGCTTCCCTGGGTCATACTGGAAGAAGAATTGTTTTAGGCCATACGTAAGGTACACTAACACTAATGATAA